GGCTAGCGCTGGCGTGACAGTGGCGCCACCTTACATACTCACCCGCAACATTACAAATACATACAAACCTTAGCTGCAAACATGTAACAGATCAGCAAACATATAAAAATATTAATAATGAAATGTTATGGCGAATTCTTATTTTATTGAGCTGTTTGGGCTATTGTCAGGTGTTCGGACCTGTAGCACTGCGACCTACATAGATCTATTGTTCTCACCCTTTTTCAGAGTACGCTACCTAGACCCGTCAGGGACAAGATTGAAGGAGTTTTTATCTCCTCCGTATAGAGTGAAAAACTTTCCAAAGGAGATGTTACGTTTATGATTGAGTGGGTTTTAACCACATAGGATGTGTAATGGCGTTTCCTTCTGATTTTTTTTAATGGCGAAACTAGACAGTCATATTTCTAAAAGCAAAGAAAAGGAGAATAAAGTAGAAAAGTACAGTACCGTATCACGTAATGAGCAAGTAAATAATCCAATCCTATTGCCAACAGTGAAAAAACAAATGCGCATACCTCAAGAAAACGAAATGAATCGATGTAACGGTTAATTTGTATAGAGACGGACTTTCCATTTCTAGACGATCGACGGTACGTTTTACTTTTCGGTTAAGGCCACTGGTTAAAATAACATTAGCTCAATGAACTCATTATATAATCAACTGGCGTGTTATAATTTAACTAGAGACCCATCCCGGCTTCACGTGGATGATCTATCTTTGAATTTCTCGACTTGTTCTATGTATACTCGAGTTCTCATGTATTAAATACTAGCTGTGCTCGCGGTTTCACCCGCGTGTTTATAGCCTATATGTTTATTATTAATGTATAAGCTATATTATTGTAAATTTTCATCAAAATCCGTTCAGGTTTTGCGTGAGAGTAACAAATATTCATCCAGACTCACAAACTTTCGCGTTTATAATATTACTAGCTTTTGCCCACGGCTTCGCTCTTAGGGGATGCCTACATCATAGTAGCTTTATGCATGTAAAGTCTCAGCCCGATCGGTTTAAAATTGACAAAGTTTCATACAAACTTTCTACCCCTATTTTATCCCCTTGGGGGTAGAATTAATCAAAATCATTTCTTAGCGGATACCTACGTCATAACATAACCTGCATGCCAAATTTCAGCCCGATCCGTCCAGTGGCTTGGGCAGTGCATTGATAGATCACTATGTCAGTCACTTTTGAGTTATATATATTTAGATTATGATAATTCAGTGTCGTAATTAATGCCTACTTTGATCCTTATTTTTTCACAAACATATTAACATACAGGGGCGGATCGTAAATTTGTGGGTCTTGGGCTAAATCTACTTAGGGGCCCACCTAATTATATTACTCAACTAAAAAAATACACCGATCAAAAAAAAGCGACCAGAAATTCCCCGTTTCTCTCGATAGACGCGCAATTGCATGGGTCGATTTTTTTTATTTTTTTTTATTAAGAATTTTACGGCCTTGGAAATCTCCTTTCAGCCAAACAATTACATTTTACAATTAATATAAATCAACTATTAATTACATCTATAGCGTTCCTATAGTATTGTGTATAAATTCGTATAAAAATGGATAACTTTCTGTATTTTGTAGGATAGACGGCAAGAGGCGGGGTACTTCTTTTTTATTATATAAACTGATTTCAGGGTTGCCAACCTAGGTTTTTTAACATTCTAGATATTTTTTTTATATTCTAAATATCGTTTCAGTGGGGACGGGGGGCCCTTTGTACCCTCGGGGCCCGATAGATCCGCCCCTGTTAACAGGAGTGTAAGTAAAGAGTAACATCGATTCATCCACACTAAAAACGTCCGCGTTTATAATGTTAATAAAATTTATTATACATAAACATCTCGTTGACTATTTTATACACAAATATATGATAATCTTCAAGGACTTCAATCCAAAATGGAAACCGACAATAACAGTATCTGCTGGTTACGCCCTCACGCGTGACGTCACAACCATAGTAACGGGGCTTGAAGTGGTGACAAGCCAATGAGCACTGATAGCAATGGATTGATTTAAACCGAATTTATTTAGTAAAGTCCGACACACGAAATGAACTGAGTCAGTCTTAACCAAACACACACCTAATGCTTATTCAATTTTGATGATTCTTTCGTTATTGGTAGCGTTTACCTTTTAAATATATCATTATTACATAGTATAAAACAAAGTCGCTGTCGCTGTCTGTCCCTGTGTATGCTTAAATCTTTAAAACTACGCAACGGATTTTGAAGCGGTTTTTTTAAAAGGTAGAGTGATTCAAGAGTAAGGTATATATAATACATGTATATTATATATACCTTACTCTTGAATCACTCTACCTTTTTTGTTTGGGCTTATCAACCAGAATATAATACGAATTTCAGCCGTTTAGTTGTAAAAGCGACCTTTTACAAATAACCGGTTAATTGTATATTAATGAAATTTGATATAACGATAGATGTATGACATGTGCTTAAAAAGCAGACGAAGTCACAGTAACAGTTATAATAGAAATAATTAGTTTCGCTTTTAGAAAAAAAAAAAAAGAAATAAAATATAGTGCCAACAAAACTACAACAAGCACTTAAGTCAAGAATGTGATAACGAAAAAAAAAGAATTGGCGCCAAGAAGTTTACAATAAATATTTTCATGAATAATTTATAATTGATGCTAAATTGGTTAATGCGTAATAAAATTGACACGTACGAATACACTTGAATGATATCAAGCTCTACCAGAAATGGAATTGTTGTCCTTGAAACAATTCCAATCCATATTGTTTTATAAGTTATAATGACTTACTGTAAATTATATGTTAATACCAATATCTGTTTTAGTGTTAATATATGACGAGATATATATACGAGAAAGAGGTCAATCGTCGAATCCAACTCGGATGGGCCACGTTCGGGAAGCTCCGATATATCTTTTCGTCCGAATTTCCGCAGTGTCTCAAGACGAAGGTTTACGACCAATGTGTGTTGCCAGTGATGACTTACGGCACAGAGACGTGGTCGCTAACTATGAGCCCCATAAACAAGCTCAGAGTCACTCAGAGGCCAATGGAGAGGGCTATGCTCGGAGTTACTCTGCGTGATCGGATCAGAAATGAGGATCCGCAGAAGAACCAGAGTGACCGAAATAGCCCGAAGAATTGCGAGTCTGAAGTGGCAATGGGCGGGGCACATAGCTTGTAGGACAGAGGGCCGTTGGGGCAGTAAAGTCCTCGAGTGGCGACCACGGACCGGAAGACGCAGCGTGGGAAGGCCTCCAGCAAGGAAGTCCAACGGTCTGGTCAAGATCGCTGGAAAGCATTGGATGCGAGCAGCGCAGGACCGATCGTCGTGGAGATCTTTGGGGGAGGCCTATGTCCAGCAGTGGACGTCTTCCGGGCTTCAATGATGATGATGATGATATATATATATATATATATATTATTTGTTCCACTAGACTCTGCAGAATGTTGTGAGTGTGGAGGGATGGACATTTCTTACTCTTTCACACAAAAATTACAGAATATATTTTAATGAAACTTTACAATAATTACATATATCAGAATAGCACATAGCATTTACATTTCATGCAAGTAAAACCATGGGCACAGCTATTAAAAATATAAAAGATTTTTTAAATCTATTAGTATGAGGAAAAAAAAGGTTTATAACATTAGTGTAATTTTATATTTTCTAAATAAAGGAAAATCAAAATAAAGGAAGCACCAGATATTAAATATTAAGTAGTAGCCAAACATGGTGATATCACAAATCAATCTTTCAGATAACCTTTCAGTAGATAACATTGACATATGTTGACATATAATTAATATCAGACAATTAGGAAAACACAGAATTAACAGTTGATAAGGAAATATTTCAGACACTAACAATATTGCAGACCTAAATTATTTCAATAACAGAAAAATATTAACTGAATATATATTTTTTTAAATACTTATCATACAAACAAACTGACAGTCAGTCTGATGGCAAGTGCTACCATTATCTATGAACAAGAACATCACAGTATCTCTCATGCATTGCTATACTCTGTAATATATATTTTTTTTTCTTTGGTAAGAGGCTAGTGTTGCCTATTATGCCACTAAAAATAGGAAATGAGATGGGATAATGGAAAGGAACGGGTTTATATAATTGTAATGTATTACAGGTTATACCTATTTCAGACACCAAACATTTACTACCAAAGACAATGGCTGTATGGGCTGAGAACTTTTGCCTTTCCCTGATGAGAAAATCTAGACGACCAAAACAAAAAAAAAGTGAACAAGTAACCACTATGTTTTGAATGAAATATTAATTAGTAAGAAACAAATATGTTCTACTGTCAAGGTACTTTATAATAAGGAAGTTTTTGATACTTAGAAGTTTGAAGGCCATTAATCACCAAAATTTTTTTAACCATATTCATGATTAATAACTCAATCATTAATAGTATACTATTCATAAAAAAAGACTACACATTACTAAGAAAATATAAGTAACTATTTAACAAATGCTAAAGAAAAAAAAATTATCCCTAGACAATATATAAAATATTTATAGCAATATGCATATGGATAATGGATAATGGAATTTCCAATGAAAGTAAAAAAGAAACTGATAATGACTGAAAAAATATCTAGTTTCTTAATCTATATTATATATATTTTCTAATCTATCTAATAACTAGTTTCTTATAGTATAAAAAAAATAAGAAGTATGTACACTTTTCCCATGCTTTGTTTATTGGATAATTTGTAAAAAGAAAGTAGTATGCAGAGGTCATCATGGCATCATCATGTGTTTTAAGAAATTTGTATTATATTTATATAACAATAATAACCAGGGATATTCTGGAAGTTTGGGATTATTATGTCTTTCATAGAATATATTTATTTATTTTATATTTCCTTCATAAATTAATTTAAATGACTTTCATTACAAAAATACACAAAATGTCATTCCTATATCTGAATATGTGTACTATATAAAAAAAACTTACCCATCAGTTGTAACAGAGTTCAGGGACAATGTCTCAGCAAAAATCATCTCAGGTTCCACAACTTTTTTCTCATTTTCCACTTCTGGATTATCTGTTCTACTTTCTGCAGTTGTTTTCTGAACATTTTTGTCTACGTCAGTTACTTTATGACTGACGTTATGAAGCCCAGAGAGATCCACTTTGGCATTATCGTCACCGTCGGCTTGCAGAGCCTCTGACACGGTCAGGATGAAGAGAGCGCAGCTGAGGAACAACAACTCCGTTAATGAAATACATGCCAAATTTTTATATGATTACTGTATATAAAAATTACTGACCTGGAAATCACTGAAATAGTCAGCAACGACGTGTATATGATACACAATCCGCCCTTCATCGTAAAATTAGTGAAATATCCACAGTACAGTTCATTTTGTGCGCAAAACTAACACATTTTCACAACTCTTTCGAGATCACTTGTTGAATTAAATTGATACAGTTTAAGTTTAACTCACACACAATAAAGCAACATTATTCGATTTTTAAAAATACCAGCTGTTGCAATAACGAACATTAAAAAGGAGCAATTCACTTTTTACAATTTTCGTTTTTTTCTTATTCATCGAACTGAATTATTTGACAGTTGTGGAATTTCGTACTAGAATATCCTGAAACGGGATTGGACAAACACATTTATGCAATTGATTATTCAATTTGTCCAATAGGAAATAAACATTTAGTACGATGTTGGGGCACTCATTGGTTGAGGATGCATACTATAGCAGCTGACGTTGATTACGTTTCTTTTTAAGCAATAATGTATTTCTAAACTTTACTGATAATCGAGAAGCTGACAATGTAATATGAAAGAAAAGATCTATTTTATGGTTTTTATATTAATATATTTTATCACACTAACATCTTATAGTAACTATTTTAAATATCAGGCAAAATGTTAAATATAAATAATATTTTATAGAAAGTTTATTCCTACTTCGTTAACATCGCTGTATCTGTTCAACTGTCAAAACCACGCTAATAAATGTCATTGTCATTATTATCCGAAAAGCGGCGGTTAGTGTGACCATAACTGATAGTTTTTTACTGTTTCTGCATATTTTTACCTAATTAGTACGTATTTAATTCAAGGAATTTTAACGACTCTTTAATTTGATGTCTTTAGGTATCTTTAGATTATTATACTGAAGTTTATAATATCAGATTTCTTTTTTTTTATATAAATATCGTGCCCAGTGGCGTGCTTGGGAGAGGCCTAGTCCAGCAGTGGGCTGCATTGGACTGATGATGAAATATAAATATAAAATTTAAATGAATAACTTAATGAAAAAACCAGTATTTATGCATTTGAAATACAATCTGCAGTATTTGGCAATTTTATGCATAAATCGGGCCGCATCTGTAATTTTAATATGGTCACATTGAACATAAAACTGAACCGACGTCAACGAGTTTGCAGTTGTCAACATAAATTGTCCTTTTCGTTTATATTTACCGGAATATTGTAAATTTATTGAAAATGGAAGCCCTGTTCGCCTTGCCGTTTACAGTTCTGGAAATACCGAATATTAAAATAAAAAAACCCTCATGGCTGCAGGCGCCGTCGGCTATGACCACTTTTTCTTTGGTGTTACTTTCTTACTTTTTGGTAACTGGAGGTTAGTAGTATTTCTAATAGTTATCTTATTAGAATTATTGGATATTTATCTATTTTCACTTCATACCCTGTAAAGTATAATTATCACCATTACATTATATTATTGTTAATTTCCCATACGTACGGAAATTCTTATCATCCCGCACTTCATAGCGGTTGCAACTACCGATGTTTTAAATTAATACATACAATTAATAACTAGTCAAATGTATTACATTGTCTGTCGGATGTTTTACGAGGTGATTTGATGAAACGTCCAAAATAAAAGTAGCCACATTAGTTTTCTAAACGGAAAGGTTCGTCATATACGTACATACTATATTTTCGCCATAAGAATGTTTATATTTCTTCAGGGAAAGGGTTAACTGAGAAGGAAGAATGATTTTCTACTGATTTATCTCAGAGAAACTTAATTTTAGCACTTTTGAGAGTCACAGTTATCCTTCTTTTAATCTACTGCAGTCTCATCACAAGGAGTGTGAAACTTGTGACTAAACTATGTTGCTCTCAACTGCCAAATACTCAGTATGTGTATATACATAGTGTTCATTATCATAACATTATTATTCTTGTTTCAGGCATTATCTATGATGTTATAGTCGAACCACCAAGTGTGGGCTCCACCACAGATGAACATGGACACAGCAGACCAGTTGCTTTCATGCCAAATCGTGTAAACGGCCAATATATAATGGAGGGTCTAGCTTCGAGCTTCCTCTTCTCTCTCGGTGGGCTGGGTTTCATCATACTTGATCGTACCCACAACCCCTCAACGCCAAAATTGAACCGAATTCTACTCATATCCGTCGCTTTCCTGTGCATACTCGTGTCCTTTTTCACAACATGGATATTCATGAGAATGAAGCTGCCAGGATATTTACAAAATTAATATATTAGTATGTAAGCCAATTTTTTTGCAAATTTTTCCTCTATCTTTAATAAATATTTTTTATATTGGTCACAAGTTTTGGTTTTTATTATTTATCCCTAAGTCCTTATGAAATCTCTGAAAACTCACTACATATAATACAAGACAATTTATTTTTATAAAAATAAATAATTACTAGAATATTAATAATGAAGAAATATATATATCATTAATGTATTAAGACATATTAATTTTTTTTTAAATTATGACTACTCCATTACTCTTGCCAATGGTGTAGCCACATTACAAAAAATAATTAAATAAAACACCTACAACCACAAGGGTCCAATGGAGAGGCTAAATGCAGAAACAGAGTCCAACATAGATTATAATATCTCAATTAAAGACTAGAAAATACTGTTAACCTATTAGAAGTAGAAATAATATTTATTCAAATAAACTCAATACAAGCACTTTTGAACAGTCATATTCTTGATTCTACCACTCATTTGGAATGCAGATTTATCACAAGAGGAATGAGCAAGAAACTTGTGTGTTGCTCTATTCAAAAGATATATAAACTTTTTTGATAACAATATTTAGACTAATTCACAAAACCATGTAGGTATAATAATATAACAATATAGCTTTATCACATACAATTTTAAAGTATTTGTTATATAATTGTCACTTCACTGTCTACCATCTTACCATTAAATACATTTTTCCAGTCATAAATAGTTTTACTACATATTTCTACAACAGTATTCCTATAAATCTTTTCTGGTATTAATTCTAGTAATACAGTCAGAATATATACTGCAAATGTTTTTGATGGTTTGTTAAATAAGTTAGTAATAAATTCATAATTCATCTTGGTATATGCAATAAAAAAGAAAGAAACAAAGTAGGTTTTATATTATTTATTTCATTTTTGGCAATTTGTTAATCTAAAAAATATTAAATACATTTACTGCTAATAAACATGAGACGAGAGTACACAAGAGTATCCAAATATTATTTGAGTAACATTTGCTATAACAATTATCATAATGTACTATTAATCACAGAAATTAATATAGGAAGACAATAACCCAGTTCAAAAATATATTACTAAAATTAAGTGTAAACAAAAAGTGTTTAAACTATAAAATTTATTGCAGATATTAAAACAAATTATATTACTTGTATATGTATTGACTGTTATGTGCCAAAATAAAAAAAAAATCATTCCACCACATACCATGACCAATTCACATTGAAAACTACACGAGTTTCTATTGGTTATATGTTGAGTGAATACTTACATATAGTTTAATTATATCTTAGTAATAATTTCATAACACGATTAGATAGAATTAGAGTACTATACAATTATATTTGATTAAATTTAATTAAATATTATTCTAATTACGTTTAATTAAAATAGAATTACGAATTTGATTAAAGTTATTTCATATGTAATTATTAATTAACCTCTAATCTTATGAATATTATAAACGCGAAAGTTTGTGAGTATGGATGGATGTTTGTTACTCTTTCACGCAAAAAACTACTGAACGGATTTCGATGAAACTTTACAGTGATATAACTTATATATCAGAACAACATACAGGCTATATATTTCACGCGCGTGAAACTGCTTGCAGAGCTAGTAATACAAATATTACAATTTATAATATGTATAGCACAACTGTGTGATGATGGTACTATTTAGTGTCGAAGTAGTCAGTCATTCGTAGGTCGTAGGCATCTAAAATTGCTTACGTCATTATGTGTATTTTTGTGCCTATTGAATGTAATAATTGTTAAGTATCAAACCTAACGAGTTTTACAATGGTACCTAAATTAAACCAATCGGGTATAGCAATACGTAGCTCAACAAATTAGTTTTAGTGTTAAAGAAAACCACATTCAATTATTTTATTCATGATTTGTAAAGAGTTATGCACAACAATTTCTTATAAGATTCAAATTTAAAATATTATTACGTAATTCATACTAATTTGTTGCTACATTTACAAGTTTAATAAATAATTCATTTCGTTTTCAAACTAAAGACTGCTGTACAAAACAGATGTTGTTGCCTCACAGCCTTATTCTGAACGATCTGAAAAATAAAATAACACTTTTTTAAAACATTCAACATTTGACGTTTTAAATAATGGGATACATATATTAATAGCGAAATCAAGGACAAAGATGATTGTTAATTATATCACCATTGCTAGCAATGTACCATGTCAAGTCAACAGCTTAGATTAGTTTAAATTTTCCATGGTGATGCTCCACCAGCGTATTTTACCAATAAGGAGAGCTCCAGTCCATTATTAGGCAATAAAACTTCTTCTAAATGTGGATAGACTACCAAATGGTCAAAATAGTTCCAAAAACACAGGGTCACACGGGTCCCGTGTTGCAAAAAAATGAAGGTTGACCCAAAATCTTAAATCCATAAAAAATAAATACAAGAACGAACGTCCTACCTTCTTGCGCTGAGACAGTTTTCCGAATTTATATGTAAAAGTAGAAATAACCTGTATTCAAATAAATCTAATATAAGCACTTTTGAATAATATTTTTTTATTCTAACAAAATTGTATTTCAATAACAGGGCAGCAATAAGGTCGGGCAAATAGCGTCTCAGGCGTCCACGGTAAGGGAACCGTTTTCCATCAGATGGGCCGTATGATAGTTTTTTTTTATAGCAGGGGGGTAAACGGCCATGTGACTCACCTGATGGTAAATGATTTCCGCCGCCCATGAACACCCGCAATTCCAAGGGAATCGCAAGTGCGTTATCGGCCTTTTATAAAGGAATAAGCTCTTTTCTAGACTTCAATATCGTATCGGTTGGGAAATACCATTGCTGGAAGGTGATTCCACAGTGTGGTTAACAGATTGTTTGCCAGTATAGTAGTAAGACAGACATACATATCGATTATCCTTTGTCTTAAAAATGAGCAGAAAAAATCTCAGTAACAACTAGTTTCCTTATAATTTAAACAATTTTACTTACTGGCAGAAATCGGAACTTTTGTCAATGATATGCTCAAATTCGGCAAATGATAAAGCGCCGTCGTCGTCAAGATCAGCCTCTTCCAGGACATTTTGCACCAATTGTTGAATCTCGGAATCGCTAAGCTTCAGATCAGTGCCGCAAAGCCTTTGGATTACCTCTGATAGATCAGACACACCTATCATGTCATCACCATCGAAATCTGGAACATGTAAAAGTGGTAATAAATAAATAAATAACGCAGGACAATTAACACAGAGCCATCTAGTCCCATGGTAAATAGAGCTTGTGTTATAGGTACATACTAGATAACTGATATGAATATTTCAGTTTTTTTTTATAAATACATAATATGTACGACAACCGCTGTTTCGCAGATTCGATTTCTCGCAAAATGTAAACATTTGTATTCATGAGTATTTTTTTTGTTTGTATCAGTTTAGGTGTTTTCTATGTATATTATGTTTATATTAAAAAAAAAAGGTCTGCTTACATTGAGAAAAGATGAGTTGTCCAGGGATATTTTTATTATGTTCAGTAGCTATAGTACAGTACAGTCAGTAAGTTACATTGAATTCAGAATGGTACATCACCATTCATTAAATAATAATAGATACTTCTCTCAAACACCAATCACATAGTATATTCTCATGTTTAAAGTAGAATCATGTCACTATCACTACTAACTGTAAGTAAAACTAACAACCAATGTCTGTATCATTTAATCAATAACAATAACTTACAGTTAGCAATACAGATACAGATATTCGAAACAAAACGAAATTGACAGATGCTCTCCAGTTCAGTTTGAAACAAAAATGGAACTGGGCGGCGCACTGGCTGCGATACAAAGACTAATGTAATGACAAAATGGCCGGGCCCGACAGGCAAAAGAAAAGTAGGATGGCAGAAAAATGATGGGCAGATGACATAAAAAGCATAGCAGGAATAGACTGGATGCGAAATACTATGGATAGACAGGGTTGGCAGAAGATAGGAGGTTTTTACCCGAGAGGACCACATAATATGAAAAAAAAAATAGTAACTATAACGTTTGAAAAATATCATGTGGAAGTGAAAGCTATAATAATAACAATAACTCACCAAATATTCTAAAGGCATGTTCAGCCTTCACCGCTTTTGGTGCTGTCTCACTAAACACTGACATCATGTCCAGGAAATCCTCAAAAGTGCAATCACCATCATTACTGGAGCTGAACACTTTGCATATCCTGTCGCGGAACGGGTTGACACTAAGTTCTGGGTATTGCAGGATTTTTGTCATAGGTAACTTGGCATTCTTGTTGTGACCTACTTTCTCAGGGGCCAATGCTTTAAATTTTTGATGTGCACTGCAATATGATATAATATATTTATTACCATAATACTTAAGGGTTTAACTTATTAAAATTCTATGGGATCTCTATACTGGCACCATTTTTAGTGCCCATATAGTTATTATGGTATAATAATAATATCAATTCACATGGTACCATCGAGTCCCAAGGTAAGCAGAGCTTGTGTTATGGGTACTAGACAACTGATATACATAATTACATACATTTGTTTTGAAAATGCATAAAAAATGCATTTTCAAAATAAATGTATATAAAAAAATATATCTCAATACTTATATAAAACTGTGTGGATTGTCCAAGGTTATTATTAATATTCTGACATATAATACTTAAATATGATTAAAGGATACTCACTAAAGCACTTCTTTTTTTGTGAAATATGTAAGATCCTGTAATGAAGAGAATATGTTAATATGTTTGTGAAAAAATAAGAAGAAAATTTTGCACTTATTATGACATTCAATTATGGCAAAACTATATTTAAATTACTATCAAAAATAAACAAAATTGGAATATACCTTATATAGTAATCTATATAAAAAAGGAAATCATTATTTCTCTATTTGAATGGCTCGACCAATTGTGCTTATTCTTCTTGTATTTATTATTCTCAATAGAAGATTGTTATGAATGAAAAATTAAGAAAATTGTTTCTGACTATTTTTCTATTAACTAAACAAATACAAATCAAATATGTTTGGTCATGTAGTTAATAAAACTTATGTATTTCATTAAAATTTTTGTCCAATTGTGATACCAAATGTAATCAGATATAATTGGGAACATTCAGTAGCATTACCAAATATTGCTGTTATGGTGAAAAAATACTTGACATAGGGGGAAGGGGATTGTAAGTAATGTGGATTAATAACCCCATTACTATCAATGTACCATGTCAGGTTACCCCTGGAAACCATTGTGATAAATTGATGGTGAATTTGTCACGATGACCTAACTGACATGACCTCATGCTCATCTTATCATCTTGCACTAGTGCCCAGACAGCATAAACTGTTAGCGCAAGTGGATGTACCATTCCATTATCATCCATAAAAAAAATACTTGACATACCCACACACATTTCACAAGGCTAATGGAATCAACCTGGCTTGGGATGAACATTTTGTTATAATCACTGCTTCCATCACCAATGAGTTAGTTCAAAATAGAAATTAGCATATTTTTTGTCATTGATCAGTTTTGAATTTATTACCAATGTGATTGGGGTGGAAAAATTACACTTTTAAAAAGAGAAACAAATCATGTTACCTCATAATCTTGGAGTTCTTCTTCACTGAACTGACTTTTTCCTTGACCCATTGTATTTATTCACAACTTTAATTAGCACTAACTCAATATCGTAGGTGCAATGAAATTCTAAAAATAAAGACTGCTTTAAATATACTGACTAAACCACTGAAACAGTTTACTGAATGCTTTATACTGCTTTATGATGCTGTATAAAATATAACTAAAGAAAAATGAGAGGAAAATTTCGCTATCTACAATTTTTTTAAATACAGAATGCTTTCTTAGACACTAGGAAAGTGGGTATACAGTTATCTCAGAAGGGAACTATTGCAAGGTAGTGCTCAAGGAACGTAATAGTCTTGAGAACTAATGTCTTACAGAAAGGAAATTTATACAAATTGAAAATATAGAATGTATAGGCGTGTACCTGAGTGTCTCGGTCCGTATAAAATTAAAATAAATATATCACTTTCACTAATACTAATAATTTGAAACCATAGACGAAAACATTACTATATTCAAGATGTTAAACAATTACTTCCGTATATTATTATTTATTACATTAACAATAATGTATAGATATAATAACAAACAACAAAAGTTGAAATGAGAAATGTCAGTATCAAATATTATCGTATTGTCACTTTGACTTTGACATTCAATGGCGTTTAGTTATCATGAGAGTGATAGTATACGAGTCTTATTTACTTCCCAACTAAATAAAACAAAAATAGAGAATTATTAATATGCATAGTTAGTCGGGTCTTAATACAAATATTTTTATGGTAAATTAGTTATTTACCTTTCTCGATGTCTCGACTAGATTGCACTAGCTGTCTCGAGTACAGCGATGTCAATGTTTGTAGTTGCCAGCAGTTATTTTTAGGGTAGTAAAGTCTAGTTTTTTTTACTACGGTTACGAGATTTTCCAACGAAAAATCGACACACAGTATCCGTACACTTAATGACTGATGCTACCGAAGTTTGTTTGAATTTATTTATCGCTAGATTCGACACAGATAATAATTTTAAACTGTGTACATAATATTATGTTGTCTGTGTTTTAAACTATCTTCCTAGTTGAAATTGCATTGTTTTTATTTCTATGGCCTGATTTATGATTGACCTTATTAATAATATATATTAAACACGAACTAAAATAACTAAAAAACTAAACTAAAATATCTAAAATAACTAAAGTTTAGATAATGTAAACGTAGTGATTACTCAATAATAATTTGCATCGCATACATGCCGTAATCTTAGGGATTTTATTGTACTTTATTTTAGATGTATACTTATATCTTAACGGTAATTAATTAGCATCTGAATTAACAGTTTCATTCATTACTTTTGTACCTGAAAAGAAAATATAAACTTTATAGGTAATCAACATAGCATAAACACAACGGAATTAATTTAGAAACAATCATAAATTCTTAGTAAAACGTTAAAGTTATACTTATTTAAGTTTAAGGATTTAAACTTAAAAATGATTATGAGGATAAATATTAGAGTCAATTAAAATATGTTTGCATACTGTTATCTACTCTTCTCGAAGCAAAAATTGATCCTCTTTTATATGGGCCTCCCGGAATGAGTTCACAAACAATTGGGTATCGTTTTTTACATGATGTAGATTTCCACATTTTATGTCGAGTAATGATAGCACAGTCATATTTGTCATAATATCTTCTTGGATGCCCCGGCATCCAAGCACGATAGGTCGTGCAGTCCAATGTATCACATGTAAAAAAAATTGTATAGTGAGGTTTGAGAACTTACGTTCGTGTTGTTGACTTTAAAAAATTTAACTTCATGTTTTAAAAACATCAATAATATGCTGTATGGCTGTATGGGTGCAGTTCCCTTTGCCTTTCCTTTAAAGGATAAAAATAACTAATAAAAAAAATAATCCAAGCAAAGAAATAAAAAAATTAATAGAGTCTCGTACATCAATTTAACATGGCTCTCTAACTTTGTACATCATTATATTTTATCAAATTTTCATAGATCAAAACTTCGTACCTACAACCAAAAAAAGGATGAAAATCTCGTATTGTTACGTGAAAGCTTTGACACGGTCGAAGAGTAAAACAGGAAGCACGGGGTACCTACTGAGCATGACACTATTAAAAATAAAAATTCAATAATTGTACTGAATATTTCGAACGGTGTATACTTAAGAATAGTGACGAGGAATGATAACCTAGCTAAAGCTTGTGTTATGGGTACTAGATAACTAATAAAAATACATAGATATTTCTTTTCGTAGATACATACATATTGTACATAGAAAACACCCAGACCGATACAATCAATCATGAATACAAATGTTTGTGCCGTGTGAGGAATCGAACCCGCGACCATCAGAAGTAAGGCTAAACCGCTAGACCGAAACCGTCAAATTTAAAAATTATTATTATTATTAAAAATGTAATTAGATAAAATAGATTATAGCATGGGGCTATAGATACCATTGATTGCATAGAAGGTGCTCTCATTCTTTCTTCTCATTCCAATGATGGCAGCCTCCACATTTGATCCGGCCAGCATCTGGCCGAGCGCTTCTGTACGTTGCTCACTGGTAATATCTGCCAGAACACCACTTATGTTCTTACATGCATTCTGACCTTCCGTGTAGTTATACTTCTGGGTGATAAGGTAGAACATGCCTGTTGCTGGTATGCATGTAGAATTTGCATTGGCTAGAAAAAAAATCCTTTTTTTGGACTACTCTAATGCTGTTGACCTCAGCTGGCCTTTACAGCTTCACCGAACGATAGGGGGCGAGTGCAGATGGCTTCAAACTCCCGGAAGGACGTATGGAGCGGCTGAAGGCCAACTCCAGGGTATATTTATTTTACTCTTTGGCCAACTCCCGCCTGACGAATACGACTTTAGTTTAAGTGCACCGTTAGGGGTTCGAACCTCGGCTCAGGCCGTCGTAACTTCGATCCCCGTTTGAATTGGACGGGGATCGATCGGGGGGGCTCTTATTTTGTAAGGCTGTAATGCTGTACTGGCCTAGTAATTTACAAATTCGGCTTAAATCTCAAAGGTTTTAATCTGGATAATAGGTACCAAAAAAGGTTTTTTTTCGTATATAATAGGCCTACGAAACTCACAGGCCAATACAAATCAGACCTACTCATAAATACAAATGTTTGTACTGTGCGAGGAATCAAACTCGTGACTATCAGAAGTAAGCGATGCTATTCATACTAACATTATAGATTTGAAATTGTCTGTCTATCTGTTTGTTGTCACGATCAAACGACTATATCCTTTCGATAATAATGTAAGTTAAGCAGAATAGAATAAATATATTGTATCAAGCCAAAGCACATATACTTTAGAATTTTTAATTAAAAAAATGGAGACGTCGTGTCGAATTTACAATACTAGCTGTATTGTAAATTCTAAAGTATACCTGTCTGTCAATTTGTTACCTATTAACGACTAAATGGCTGAACGGATTTTAATGAAATGTAATATAAAGATAGCTTGTATAATGAGTATGAACATAAACAAATCAACAAAAGTCACGGGTAAGTACTAGTAATATATAAATGTATAATAAATATATGAGTAGATATTTCGGTACTAACGTAAAGGTTTCGCATATAAACTGTAATAGTCGAATCTCATATCATTCGTCAATGACGTGCCACCGTCGACTTCAGCGCACTTCAACACTTCACACGTGTACTCGAGGGGATCCTTCATACTTTCCGCGGCTTCAGGTGGACTGAAGTTCAATGATAAGGCCTTCTTTTCAATGGCAAGTCGCTGGCAACTGATCAGAGACGTGTATCTGGCCTTAGCTGCCAGTCCCAATTTGGATCTGTGGCATTTCTCCATCAGGTGATATTTTGGTAGTATAGGTGGAAATTCATTTGAACATCGCATATTAGATAATACTGAGATGAATAATAATAATTGAAGAATCCAAATAAACAACATTACGTAAGATGTCTGAAAAATTCCGATAATCCTTATTAACTTTAAAAATAAAAAATAATGACTCTCTATATACAAGCCTATATCCAAAGCCTCAAATATTAGCAATTAAAATAAAACAATTCTTTTTTTGAATCAATGGTATTCTTACTACAGAATTTTGCTACTTTTATAACACAGTTTACAACTACCTAGGTGTAGAAAAATCATTATAAAAAAACAGGATACATACCTACACATCCAAAGCCTCAAACGTCAACATTAAAATAAAAAAAAAACAATTCTTTTTTTCAAGTCAACGCCACATAGGCTGTACGGTCTAAGGCTCTTTGCCTGTTCCATCATTGAAAAGGAGATGGACGAATATGGAAAAAAAAAGTAAATCCACTCTAAATATATTTTTATGTTTATGCTTACATCACAACTTTCCTACTTTTATGACATAGTTTATGTAGGACTATGGGAAAAGGAATATAGGCATGAATTAATCACTATTTCACTAGTACGACTATAACACACATTACATCAGTTTTATTACATTGTGGCACAGAATACAATAGCACCGCACAGCCAGATATGACAATGGATTTCTGCGTGCCTTAAAATTTATGTGATCCAATTTTGAACGGAAGCGGGTGCCATGTTATGTTTCTTGACAGTTATTATTGCTATGTACAATTGCGTTTGAAAATATAAATGCGTATGACCATTACTGTGTAGTATGCTTATTATAGTCTAGGTTTGACGACCTACATAATTATATTTCATCAACATTAGCAGAATTATTTTTATTGTACACAAGTACCTTTTTCTACGAGTCAATCGAGAGTACTCGAGCTCTCAAACGACAATCTTATTTAGCAATAATTTATGAATAAAATAATTTCTAAAACTCAAATTCAAACCCATAATCACTTGACGCCTCGGTGGTATAGCAGTTTAGCACACCGCTTTACTTCTGATGGTTTGCGGGTTCGATTCCTTGCATGGTGTAATGTACCATGAGTGTCTCTGTTTGTATCAATCTCGGTGTTTTCTACGTATATTACGTATATATTTACAAATAAATCTAAGTATTTATATCAGGAATCTAGTACCCATAACATAAGCTCTGTTTACCATGGGACTAGATGGCGCTGTGTTAATTGTCCAAGCTTATTTATTTTTTATTTATTCACTATGAATATATAATAGTATTCTACAGTTTGTACCGTGTGAAAAATCGAACCTGCAACTTTCAGTTATAAAGCCGTGTACTAAACCGCTAGACCACCGAGGACGTCAACAAATTACTTGAATTTAAAATAACCTCTTTTTTTAAATGAGTTGATAATTCATATGTAGATAACTGCCTAAAAACTCACGCACTGAAAGACTTATATTCGAAATATGTATACAAATCTAGACGTACGTTCAAACAATTGTCATTTATTTAGAGATGTCATTTTATTTCACAAACTTTGTTGCGTGTAATTAATTACACAATCGTGTGGTTTCTTTATTTGTGGAGGTCATGGGTTGTTTCTATTCTAGAGGGTTGGAAGATGTAAGTAATTCTTATAGAATTTATAATTAGAGACAATTTTGTTATCTATAAATATTGCAAGGTAAATAAGAAACACGCAAGTTCATATCCCCTCCGATCGATGTCCAATTCAAACGGATATCAAAATTACGATTGCCTGAGCCGAGATTCGAACCTCTAGCGATGCCGTCAAACTAATCGTATCCGTCAGGAGGGAGTTAGCCTTCAGCCACTTCACAAGTCCTTCCGTGCGTTTGGAGTGCCATCTGCACACGTCCTCTATCGTCCGGTGAAGCTGTAAAGGCCAGCTGCGGCCGACAGCATTAGAGTAATCCTAAAAAAGCAAGTTTATATGTATAATAGGTACTGGTACAGGTGCGAAGCCAGGCGGGCAGCTAGTATCGTACAATATTAAATATTTTTATGAATATTCAGATAATTATTTCATTGCTCTCTGGCAGGATAACACGCTTTATGATATGTCGCCTATCCGTCACCTTCCGGTCATATTCGTGAACGGAGTACCAGGTGCTGGCAATCAGACAGTGGCGCAGACCATATCAAACATAACAGGGTATACAATAATCAGACCTGGAGATTTGGTGAGGGCGGAGGCGCTGAAGGATACCTCTAGAGGGCGCTTAATTGCAGATAAACTACGAACTCAAGATGAAATCTCAGAGGTCAGAATTATATTTTAGACTATTTTCTCCTAGACACGATTTTCTTATATGTAACACTCCCATCGGACACTTAGAGTAATGATGGACAAAAATATATATTTTTTGTAAATTTATACTTATTATATAATAAGTTGAAAACTTAAATTAACTCACTGAAAACTTAAATTAACTCACTCTAATAGGAGGGTTTAAGTTAAGAGCAACACTACTAGGCATTACTAATCACTTTTGAGCATTGCTGAGCACTGTTGTGCACTACTGAGCAGTGCTGAACATTATTATGCTACTTACAACTTCTTACTATTGAAAACCCAGCATTGTGACGGTAAAGACATGGACAGTCCACACAGCATCCTCTAGTTCCAAACTCAACAAAGCTAAGGTTAGTACTCAACTAATATAAAGACATAGATAGGTACATTAATTTGTAAATACATACATAATATATATAGAAAACACACAGACAGATACAGATACAAAGAATCAAACACTGGATACAAGTATTTGCGAACAATCGAACCCGCAACCATCACGGAAGTAAAGCGGAGTGCTAATCCGCGACACCACCGAGGCCGTCACGCCTTTGACGATTATGATGATGTATTTTTCCATCAACAGCAACTAACAGTAGACCTGATAAAAGAAGCGATGTTGACGCAACAGGAAGCTACCGGATTCATCTTGGTGGGCTTCCCGAAGAACCCGAGGATGTCTAATATTTTTAACAGACAGGTCAAATGGCCAGAGAAGATTGTTGCTTTGGAAGTTGACAATGAGGTACGTATTCATCATTTCAGTCTGCATATATCCACTATTGGATATAGGGCTTGTCCCAATACCTTCAACTATGTGCATTCTTCCGCCTTCCGCATCCGTCCACTCCCCACATTCTTGATGTTGTCGGTCCATCTTGTAGAAGGGCGCCCAACACTCCGTTGACCAGTACGAGGTAGGTGTTCTAATATTATAACGAAAAAGAGGAAAGTTTAGTTAGTTTTTGTTTTTGCACTAAATAGACTTTGAAACTACTGGACTTATTTAAAAAAATCTTTAGATAGACGATTAGAATTCTACATTATCCTTGAAGAACATAAACGATAGAATATTTTCTAAAATGGATCCATACGTAAATGTAAATCGACGTATGAAAAAAATAAAAAAATCCTCATATCGCGTACGCTGCGGAAATGATTACCAATAGAGCAAAGTGATGTACTACAGTTGTATAGAGGACATCAATATCGAAGGGTGTATATTTTTTGTTAAATACCCGTACGAAGCCGGGGAAAGCGTTAGTAATTTTCAAAATAAAAGTGGAGCTAGTAGAATATTTACATCAGTTGTCTAGTACCCATAAATAGGTCTGCTTACCTTGAGTACCTGATGGTACTGTGTGAAATGTCCAGGGTTATTATTATTTTAAATGATATTATGGTATTCTAGGTGGCAGCCACAAGACTTCAAAACAAACTATCAGAATTAGGAAGACCAGAATCAGAGATTAATGCGGCAAGAGAGATCATCAGGGAAGCTGCGCATAAAGTAAAGAACGTTCACAAACGATTCAGAGGACATGTTGTAACGGTATGTGATTTAAAACACACTAAACCTTTATTGAAAGAACAATTCTTTAGATCACCAAGTCTACTGAATGAAAACAACATCCTTTTGTCTTACCTACTAACTACTATAAATTGAATTCGATATTATTTTGCGGAGGTCCATTTCATTACTTAATGCATTTATAAGTATTACCTTGTTAAGTTTGTTAGTCCTCTACCATTAGGATGTGTGAGACCACAAATATTCATTGCGGAAAACTGACCGTCGCTACTGGAAGCGTTATGACCTTCTTTAGTCGCAGTTTTTGAGACCACAAATATTCAGTGTGGAAACCTGACCATCACTATTGCAACCGTTACGACCTTTTCTAGTCGTAATTTTGTCGTCGAACAGTCAACACTCGGCTTCCAAGCTATATTCGATCTCTATTTCATGCCTGATGATGACTTGCTCAGAGGCGAAATACGTCGCAATATGGGTATAGATTCAATAACAGTCGGAATTTAATAATTAATAGAGAAGGTTGTAATGCCTCCAGTAGCGATGGTCAAGATTCCGCACTGAATGTTTGTAGTCTCATAGATATTACCATAAGGTAAATATAGCTTTTATATGTGTACCAGTAAGTAAATCTATCAAACTCTGTAACAGATTTAAACGAGTTTATAACTTTTCCTACAGCTGGACAGTACTGGAAATCCAAAAGCGCTTGCATCGACGCTGAAGGAAATATTATCAGATACGATCGAGAAGAGTCAGAAGCGATCAGCGTCCCCAGAAGCACGTCCCCCTTCAGCAGTATCAGCACCAGCCGTGGCGTTCAACCAAAAGTGTCCTATGTGTCCCATCAGCCCAATATTAGGGAGAGACGCACCGCCATCAGAGATTGTGGGGGAGAAATGATCTATTATTATAATTTAATTCAGATATATTTTAACTTTGCTATATTACATGTTAATGATTGTAACACGATGTTTAATTTCTTAATTATAAATTTAAACTCATAAGCGGCTTGAATTATGTGCTGTTTTTCAGTCAGAGTGCAATGAAATTTCGTTTCAGCTAAAAGGTAGAGACTTATAGGTAGAGGCATAACATTTAAGCCTTCTAGAATGGCAACGTGTTCCGGTGACAAGGTTGAGGCATAAAGGTAATTGAATAATATCTAAACCCTCTAGAATGGTAAACACATTCCGGTGACAGCCCAGAGGCATAACATCTAAGCCCTCTAGAATGGCCACACTTTCCGGTGACGATATAGAGGCGTAAAGGTAAAGATAGCATCTAAATCCTCTAGAATGTCAACGAATTGGGGGTACGTACGGCGTCCATGATGATGGAAGAACACGTAATAGGTGACGATCACCCTTTACTGTCAGGTAGATTATTGCTGCTAGCTTGTTTGCCACTTTAGTTATGTAAAAAACAGGCAAGAAACACGACTGTTATTTGAAATTGTTTTCCCAATTAACATATGTTATACAATGACAGAAAATGGAACGTAATTGGAATCGAAGAAAATTATCGGTGCATAAGTATAGAATTAGATTCGTTATGAAATTATATAGATGTATATATTAGATATATCTCGCTTTTTCCAAAAGTATAGCTCTCATTTTGTTATTATCGAGTCACCTTGGCGACTCAAACTCCCATTATTATGTTAGTAACTATTTTGTGATTCGTTAATAATATTAAAAAAAAAAGTAAACGTTAAAGCTTTTTTAAAATTGGTTAAGTATTTTTTGAGTTAATCCATTAATTTTCCCATACAAAGTCCAGTCCAGTTTATCCATACAAACAAAAAACCAAATCTCTACTCTTCAAATATATACTCTTTATAATATTAGTTCGGAAATCTGCTATACTACAAATTGGTATATGCCTATACGACCTATTTTGTGTGATAAATAATATTTTTTTAATAATGGCCACTAAGAAAATTCTTTTTTTGTAAATTTCAAAGTTTTAATCATCGTGACAAGCGACAACGCACGTCGGTGTCAATTGTCACAAAAGCGCATCGATTTACAAAACAAAAACGCGTCCATTTCCAAAAGAGACGCCACAGTTCGAACATCTAAGAAATTATCTCAATTAATATAATTTTACTAGTTTAAATATAGGTAGTTATGTATACGTTAAGTCAAGAATAAGTCTAACACTGGCAGTCGCTGTCAGGGCCGAAGTGGAGTGCGCGGGAATTTAATTTCGACGTCGTTCAAAAATTCATCACGCTGCGTAAATCCGTGATAAAAGTTATGAAGATCAAACTGCGTAAGATGTTTGTTATAATATCATAATTATCCGTTCCAAAAGTACAAAGTTAGCTATATTACAATTATTAAATTTACTTTGAAATAGAAAGAGAATTTAGTGAAATAAACTTAATATAAGCACTTTTGAATAGTCATATTTTTATTCTACCACTCATTCAGAACGCAGACTTATCACAAGAAGAATGAGATATTTATATAATCTTATAATTTTTGTTGTCCTGAATCTTCTTAAAAATACTGACATCTTAAAAACAAGAATAAAAAAAAAATGCGTGAATTTTCATTATAGTAAGAAACAGTTGAAACTATTAAAAACCTACGGTTTTGCGACCAAGTTGACTTAGTTTATAATTATAACACTCAAATACAATCATACAGAATTGGAAACCTATCAATTTTAATCTACTATCATAGAGAATTGTTAGCAACAGCGCTATGTCGAAAACTAGCAGAGCCTATAACTTACGCATAACTATCTTACGTATGGATACCGACTAGACATTAGCACATTAATTTTTTTTAAGTCCATGCATAATGAGTTGGTCAAATTCGAACCCACGACCTGTATATCTGTAGTTAGCAACTACGCCACGACATTACAGAACAAATAGACAGAATACCTTGTTTCTGATTTACTGTATCTACAGCGCGCGATCGGTTCCCGTCGACCTCGTCGACGGATGACAACGAGAGCGGCACAGATTGGGACATGGATGCTGCACGGCATCCGCAACTCCTGCATCCGCGACATCCGCCGCCGCCACAGGTAACGATCACTTGTTCCATCCACTGTTTCGTATATGTACCTGTTCCGTAGATGTATCTGTTCCCTGTCTGTATCTGTTCCGTATATGTATCTGTTTCCTGTCTATATCTGTTCCGTAGCTGTATCTATTCCCTGTCTGTATCTGTTCCGTGGAGGTATCTGTTCCGTAGTTGTATGTGTTCCATAGCTGTATCTGTTCCGTAGCTGTATCTGTTCCCTGTCTGTATCTGTTCCGTGGAGGTATCTGTTCCGTAGTTGTATGTGTTCCATAGCTGTATCTGTTCCGTAGCTGTATCTGTTCCCTGTCTGTATCTGTTCCGTGGAGGTATCTGTTCCGTAGTTGTATGTGTTCCATAGCTGTATCTGTTCCGTAGCTGTATCTGTTCCCTGTCTGTATCTGTTCCGTGGAGGTATCTGTTCCGTAGTTGTATGTGTTCCATAGCTGTATCTGTTCCGTAGCTGTATCTCCTGTCTGTATCTGTTCCGTGGAGGTTATCTGTTCCGTAGTTATATGTGTTCCATAATAATATCTGTTCCGTGGAGGTATCTGTTCCGTAGTTGTATGTGTTCCATAGCTGTATCTGTTCCGTAACTTGATTAAGTTGAAACTACCTTCTAAAATTTAGGAGCATAGTTAATCTAATAAGAATGTAAGTAGTTCATATTTAGTTGAATAGTTCCTTAAGTATTTTATAGTTATCAGATTACAAAATATAAATACAATCAAAATTATTAGAATCGTTTCCAAGATACACGAACTAGTAAAAATATTCAGTACATTATTAACAAATATGTCGCAGTAGTACATACTAAATACAGTCAAATATTGGGTTGAAAACCTTATAATTATGTACGAGATGAAATCCAGCATTAGTTAATGATTTACCTTGGAGATATCGCAGGCGATCATGGTGGGATCAGTGCGCAAGAGACGCGGGAACCTGCCCAAGCAGTCTGTGAAGATCCTCAAACGATGGTTGTACGATCACCGATACAACGCTTACCCGAGTGACGCTGAGAAACTGGCTCTCAGTCACGAAGCCAACCTCACTGTGCTGCAGGTAGAATAGAATAGAATAGTTTCAAATTAAAAAAAACACAATATCGTATTAGGTCTATTACAGACTCGGTAAGATACGTCAAATTTACCGAGTCATAAGAATCAAACTATAAAATATTTTTTCTTTCTTTCTTTTAAAATTTAGAACGCGGATACAAGTGATGCGTTGAATGGATAGAGAGAGAAGATTCAAAGACTATACACGTTTAAAATTAGGAATTTACCTTTCTAGCTGAGAAGAACTGACAAGAAACTCTGCTCTTATTCTTTTCAAATGAAATTGTACAAGTCTATAAAAATAGAGATTCATTTTTAAATTCAAATTAGAAAGAATATAATGACCACCAGCGTATGCTATTGCAATTTTGTCTGAAAAAAAAAGAGATAGAAAAGGAGATATTCTAATCATTGGCCGTAACTCAAACCGAATAAACTCGAAATAGAATAGAAATAATTAAAATGAACTTAATATAAGCAATTTTGAATAGTAATATTTTTTATTCTAATACTTATTTGGAACGAGTCTTCACAAGAGTGCAATAAACTTGCGTGAGCATCACGCAAGTTTATTTTAAGTATTTTTTTTTCTTTTCACAGACATAAAGTCCGTGCTCTTATTATGTTAACCTTTTACATATCTGTTTGACTTAAATAAATCAGTATATCTATTTTTTATTAAATAAATATCTATTTTGGTCAGGCCCCATATAACAATTTTGTAAATAATTTAGTTGTAATTTTACATTTTTATGTAAATGCAAACTACCAACTACCACTAATTCATAAGAGACAAAATAATTAAATAAATTAGATGTTCTGATTGAAGCAGACTAGTCCCCACAAGAAGCAGCCGATCACGAGTATGACGGGTGAGCCAGTCATCAGTCTAAAAACGTCGTATTTATATTAACTAGGTTAAAAAAAATTTTAGTTATTTGCATGTCTGTAGTTTTACGCAAGCAAACGGCTTAACCGATTGGAATGCTTTTTTCAGAGTTGTATAGTTACAAGTTTTCCGTAAGTAATATATATGCTTCTTAAAGAAAAAGTTATTCTTCTTATTTGATAAGCGTGGTCGTTATGTAGTGGAGTGAGAAGCAGATGTTATCCGCCTTACGACAGCTCGCTATTTCTCCCTACTGGCATTCTTGTACACTCGTAATGTGGACCGCCTACCTTTGCCTCTGACTTGATCGATCCATCGCTTGGCTGATCATAAAAAAGTTATAACCTCTTCTTATTTCGATACGCATACGAACTCACGGGTTAAGCTTCTACGCAATATCTAGCCATGAGTTAAATATTCTCAGGTATGCAATTGGTTCATAAACGCGCGCCGCCGCATTCTCCCAGAGATGATCCGACGAGAAGGCCACGACCCACTTCACTACACGATCTCCCGACGCGGACGCAAGCAACCGGGAGCAATGCCGGGGGTCGGACCTATGGTTAGCTTGGACGCTGCATCCACGTCAGGACTCAGTATGGCCCCTAGCAACATGACTGTTACAACATGGGATGGAGTCATTGTAGAGGTAAGTTTTGGTTTCTTTTTTCATGTAATTTATATATATATATAATCTGTATGTAGGCATGTAGACAACGGTTGCCACATATACTCCAGGAGAAATAAAAATAATAAATAAATAACAAAAAAATAAACGAATCCAGAGGAAAGGAAGGCATATATTTTTCGATTATGGCATTTATTTTTAAAATGAGTGTTTGTGGTTATTTATTCGTAGTTTTGTCTTACACGTGACCTGTTACCCTCCGATTGATCCACCGTCCAATTCGAACGGGGATCGAAATTACAGCTCAAACCCCTAGCGGTACCCTCAGACTAAAGTTGTATCCGTCAGGCGGGAGTTGGCCTTCAGCCGCTCCATAAGTCCTTCCTCGAGTTTAGAGTGCCATCTGCACTTGCCCCTTTCGTCCGTGTGAAGCTGTAAAGCGTGGCACAGCATTAGAGTAGTAACGTGAATATGCATAAATACTCCCAGATTATTTGAAAGTACTCGTATAGACTATCAGATCTTAAAAGAGCACAATTCCATCATCATCCATTAAAAAAATGGGTTATTTTTATTAGTTAGGTTACTTCAGATGTAAATATCGATGTGATTTGTGTAGTGAACTTTGGGACTAGCGTTACATATGTAATTATTATCACTTACGTGTTATCAGATATTAGGTAGGTACACAGTTTTTTTTATCAATTTACTGATCATACTCAACTCTTTCTGATTAATTTAATTGATAATTCTATTAATGTACAAATTTTTATGTTATTTGTGTTTGTTCACAATAAGGTTCATAACGAATTTATGTGATATCTCATTTAGGTACTTGAAGACTATATTTTTTCAATTTTCCATAGTCCCAATCGAATCAGAGTTTGTCTTAGGCGACTGATATATAAAGTTTTTTTTTTCTTATAAATACATACATAATTTAACTAGAAAATCCTAGATCTATACAAACTATAATAGTTATAAATATAAATGTTTGCACCGTGCCAGGAATCAAACACGCTAGATCACCGACGCGTCAATAATACAACGTATAATTGAAACTAGTGTAACCACATAATGTTTATTTTAAAGAACCAAGCGGATATCCATCACGATTACGGTGACGGTCTACTGGTGTACCGGAGCGAGGGAAACGAGCTGGTCGACCACGAGGAGGGGTACTCGAGCGCCATCAGCGAGGAAGAGGTCAAGTACGATCCGTCCGTGTGGCAGTCCGTTATACGTTACGGGCCGGAGGAGACCGAATTGCACCCAGCTTCCAGGTTTATATTATATATTCATCATCGTAATTATAAGTTTACCCTCTAAAAGTTAACGTGTAATGGCAAACCTGGGCCTGTGCCCAAGAAAAATCAGCAGATTTTGTCAAACTGAAGAGGAAACGGCACTACATATCCTATGTGGTTGTAGCCCACTCACGCATAAACGCAATATCCTTTGGAAAGTTTTCAACTCTATCCTGAGGAGATAAAAACCATCGCTCCTGAAAAAGAGTGACTATGATAGATCTATGTGGGTCGCATTGCTGTAGCACTCTGACAAGCATCTGACAAATGGCCCAAACCCTCTAATAAAAAATAAACTCCCGTGATATCACACATGCGTTCCCATTCCAGAGGTCTGAGATATCATAATTTCACTGCCTAATTTGCACACTACAACCGAAACACAGATTACAATGCAAGCTGCTTGGTAGCTGAAATAGGTAAGTCTGAGGTATCCACAAGAAGACTTTTTAGTCTATTACTCATTATAACACTTTCTACGAAACTTAACCAGGACCGGCGCAGTAGTAACAGTCGCAACAACAGAAGAGCCTCTACACCAGCTTACGCCAGTAAGCGAGTCGTGGCGTCCTCTGCATCACCCCCAGTTAACGCACCTACCCCAGCCGCCGCAGACGTTGCACCCGCGACGGATGCAGGTGAGCACGCCGCCGCTGCAGCCACCGCCGCCCGTCGCTGTTGAACTGGAGGTCGCCACTACTGACATGTGGTGCCACACCTAATCTCTAACTCCTACTCGTAGAGCCAGAGTTACTATGAATAACGAAAGGGGCATTAAGGCTTAAAAGGATTTTTTTCCACAACTGATAAGTGGTGCCACATCTAATCTTGAAACTCCAACTTGTAGGGCCAGACGTTTATGGGATATCTATCTATAGTATTTACTTAACAAATATTCAGTTTAGCAGTTACATAATCCTGATCCATCTTCTTGGCTGAGAGACCAGAGAGAGAGGCCAGAACAAGCATTAAAGTTGGAATATGATATAGTTTAAAAGGCTATTAACACTTTTAGAAGAGCGTTTAATTTAGCTGATTTTTATAAGTATAATAATTAGTAAATCACGGGATCTTACCACGGTTTTTTTTTGTTGAGTTCCCGATATTTCGGCAGTGTTTCAACCTCTATGATCACGAGTAAACTGAAGAGCAGTGGGTAGAAGGTAAATAAATCTTCAGAAAGGTAAATAAGTCCAGTGATTTACTAATTATACTTATTAATAATGACCGCGTCAAACTTAAAACAGCTGATCTTTCTAATTTTCTATGAATGTTAATATTTCAGATAATGGAACGTGGAAACGGCTTTTAATCTAAATCACTAGATACTAATTCCAGCTTTAATTGTTGTTCTAGCCTCTTTCTTTTTTCTCTGATGTAATTATATCAAAGAAATAAAATTTCACATAAAACGATGAACCGATTTCAGCTTGAATTTTTTGAAAGTCTTATCGAGTCCACCACGTAACTTCTGCAAAGTTTGCACAAGAATAAATACGAAATTAAACGCATAACATTTGTTGGATTGTGTTTTATCCAAAATCAATGTTGGTTATTAATTCCAAGATTGTTCAAATTGTAAAAATATCTTCTCTACCCATTTATGGTCTGTTGCTACTTTTATATTAAGTAGCAACAGACCCTATTACAATATCAAAAAATTCGTTAATTCTAATCTTGTAGGCGACGTCGGTGTTAAAACAATTAGGTCTATATGCATGGATTATAAGAAATACATTATTAGTTTTACAATTTTGTTTTATACCAGAATCTTGTTTAGTTTCGTTATGTAAATAAACGTTATGAAATATTCCTGACTTTTCGTTTAAAACCTTGTAGTTTTCAGTTTTGACATTTGTTTTAATACCGGCATCACCTGAGTAAAACTCACATAGCTATTTCTTAAGATTAACTGCATTGGTTGGTTTTGCTTCTACTGACTGAAATATTGTCTATTATTATTAATTTATGATATTAAAAACGAATTATCAATTCAGGGGGTGCCGGTACGCGGTGAGAGAGACCAAGATAAATTCAAGTGTCTCTACTTACTCGTGGAGACTGCAGTAGCAGTACGCCAGAGGGAGATGGAAGAAGAAATTTTAGCCTCACTTTCATTTGCATAGGTTTATATTGAGCCTCTTATTTCAATCGCTACTGATTTTTAGGGTTCGTCTTTTTATTTTTAAGTAAGTTTACGGCTTGGCTACAAGGCCTTTACGCCAAATCATATCTCATTTCAGTAGTCCAGTACATATTTAGTGTAGCCATTTATATTCTAAAGGAAGTTTTAAGACTTCGTATTAAAGTAAGTTTTCAATTGTAATTACCTCCAGGATCTGAAAATATTTACCAACAAAATTAATTCTGTTCTTGTTTTTAAGTATTTTCATTCCCAGCTAGAAATGTAGTTACATAATTATTATGACATATAAAACGGGTTCTCTGTACCTACCTCACAAGCAACCTATTTTTAGTAAGGATATTGATCGTTCGCTAAAAATCTAATATGTTTCATTTTAGAAAATAAACCAAATGAACTAAAACTTTAGAAAATAAATGTTTAGTTCATTCGTCATACTCGTGGACATCCGTCATAATTAAACCAATTCAATCAAAGCAGTAGCACAGATAAGAGAACAGTCTATTGCAGTAATAATAATTCTCAAAAAAATAAGAAGGTAGTTCTTAATTTTGGTTATAAGTGAAGCAATTTTTTTTATGTTAAGCAAGTGCTGTAGTTTTAGGTATACATATATGTACAGTTTTGTTTAAGATAATCTTTGTTACTACTTAATCATTACAATAAACTGATTTCTGGTGATTTGAAATACTATTATTGTTTCATTAATTATATTATGAATATAAATATAATAGTAATAATAATACTAAATAAAAATTCACACAGCGTCCTCGAGTCCCAAGTTAATTGTTTTATAGGTTAGACTGATATTAATACTTATGTAGATGCATTTTTTGGTAAATATATAATATACATAAAAGACACAAAAAAGAAACAATCGATCCCTCGCACGGTGCAAATATATTCATCATACACATGAATATATTTGCACCGTGCTAGGAATTGAACACGAGACCATCGGATAGTAAAGCGGTGTGCTAAACCACTAGACCACCGAGGCCATCAGTTCACAATGTGAAGTTCGAGCTGATGTGATGAATTTTCTGGCAATGAGGCCAGCTATTTTTTGTATATCTTTAAAATGACGAATGAACAGATGAGAAGTGGGTTACATTAGGTTGTTATCAGAATGTAATAAAATAAATATTATAATAAAATCATTTAATCAACAAGTCATTAAAATTAATTAAAAATATAATATGTACATAATTGTCTATCTGTACCATCTGTACAGTCGCCTTCATGAACATTGGCAAAGATTCAAATAAAAAAAGATAAAGCACAGAATGGCAGCAAGTGACAGCTGTCATATTTTGAGTGTTTTCCACGGTAGCAACTGCACTACCGAAGACGGCTGCACGGCCCTTTTGTCTTTCCCTGAGATGGGAAAAGCGAACCAAAAAAACAAGATGGCCACTATAAATAATGTGTAATTTAATTTTTTATTCGAAATTCAAATATTTGATTCGTTCGTACTTATTCTTGGTTAGTTGTAAATAAAGTACGTTTATTTCTTTTTAAAAAATCTTGCATTCTAGTGCAGTACTTAAAATTGGAATCTTGCTGTGAGGAAATTATTATTATTGTTTATGTATATATATTTTATATCTCCCTTTGATGGGGTGTTAAACTTGTCATTGCGGGTAAAAATCACCAAACAATGACAATTATAAAAAAAAATGATTATTATTATTATTATTATGATATCAATAAATATGCTATGGCAACTGTGGTAACATGATGTTTTTCACTTTATTTAGTTTTAATATATACGTTATATTAAGGATGTTGAACAATAGAAAAATATCGACATCTGAGTGAGAGATATGAATATCGATGACAGATGTCAGAAAATATCGATACATCGGTCTAATTTCATATTTAATTTACTTTTCTTAACTCCTCAGACATCCAGTTCTATCTGGTTTCTAATCATTTTGCGTTTCGAATTACTTTATTTTAGTATAAGCAAAATTTTCCGTTCATATTATTGTATGTCACTGACTTAACATTTATATACCGATATTATCGAAAGTCGATGTAAAAATGTCGACATGTATCGAACTTCACTAAGTTGAATTTATTGTTGCATATTTTGTTTCCTTTTTTTGTCTTTGTGTGTGATTTTAAGACTCAATAAATTCTATATATTGACTCATTATTGAACGTTGACAAGTGTTCACAAGTAGATATATGAAGCTGACTGTACTGCGTGCTGTGTGCTGCTGTACTATATGGTGTCTCAGTTAGCGACCAGGGGGTCGAGGATCTTCTGCACTTCTCCAAATATATCATCAACGGACGCCTCCGCGTTTATCTGTAAATATGAAAATAAATTGACGATTGTTAGTCTCACTAAAACTTGAGAACTGCTCGACTGATTTGACGTAATTTTGTTTATAAATACTTGTAGTTCGTCCGACGAGTCGTCATAACCGTCTTCGCACGGGTGTAAAAGTATTATATATATATATATATATATAGAAAGGTTTATATATACATATAAAATAAACCTTCCTCTTGAATCACTGTATCTATTAAAAAAATCGCTTCAAAATCCGTTGCGTAATATTAAAGATATTAAGCATACATAGGGACGGACAGACAGCGACAGCGACTTTTTATACTATGTAATGATGATGAAGTACATAGAACAAGTAATACGCACCCTCCTAAGTTTGTCAGGGTACTGCGCGAGGACCAGTTCGTTGTTGTCGATGAATGTTTTCAGCCTGAGTTTGATTGTTTCCTCGTTGTCGTCGGCGCGGCCCGAGCTCGCCGCACGCCCCAGCAACCTCTGTGTCAACGTCTCCGATGACGCCTCGAAGTATATTATAGCCTGAGGTAGAACCAAAGGTAAGTTTTGTAACTAAATTCAAAATCTGATATTAATGTTACTTAGGCTACAGTATATTATCCTAAGTTATAAGAAGAAATGATATTTGATATTGTTATAAATACATTTCAGGACAGACCATTGAACTTGGCATCCATTTAGATCTCATCTCTTTTGTCGTAGAAGTCAACAATCAAGGCATATATCATAATATTAAACTCGGCTATCATTTCACATTTATATTTTTGATGGGATGTTTATTACTCTTTCACGCAAAAACTACTGAACGGCTTTTGATGTCACTTTGCAGTAACATAGCTTATACATCCGAGTAGATGCAATACCTTTCTGCGCATATAGAACCGAAAAATAAACATATTTGATTAATATTATAAACGCGAAAGTTTCTGAGAATGGATGAATGTTTGTTACTCTTTCACGCGAAAACTACTGAACGGATTTTGATGTAACTTTACAGTAACATAGCTTATTCAGACAATAACCAACAAATAAACATATCTTATTAATATTATACCGAGAAAGTTTGTGAGTATGGATCAATTTTTGTTAAACTACAGTAATATAGCTTATACACCAGAATAATATATAGGCTATAAATTTAACGCGAGTGAAACCGCGGCACAGCTAGTAATATATAATATTATCCACCACGGGCATATCCCACCCTATAACCGAAACACAATCTATACAGCAAGCTTCTTGGCGGCAGGAATTCGTGCAACAGAGGTGCACAAACAGACAACTTTATACAAAGTGTCCTTAGGGCAATCATTATTAAGTAATGAATATACACAAATAACTTACAGTGACTGGAGCGATGGCCTGCTCGAACGCTATACCCTGGGATTTCTCACGCGGGTACCCGTCGATGAGGAAACCCTTGGACTGATCTGCACGCGCCAGTATCGCCTCTTTCAGCAAGTCCAAAACGATTTCATTTGGGACCAGCTCACCTGCAATTAGATATTTTAACTCTTTATACTACTACATTTCATTTAAATTTAAATTGAAAAGATGGTTACTCGAACTTAAAAATGCATTAGTATAAGTTGTATGTTACAGTTAAATTGTAAATTAAGTATAAGTAAAAATGAGTGTCGTTATTCGCCAATAAACTGCAAAGCAGTTTGCCGATAATTGTAAAAATAAATTGTATATATGTAATACTTATAAATAAATTAAAAATATATATATATAAATAATAATCTCAGGACAATTCACACAGCGCCATCTAGACTTAAGTTAAGCTAGCTAAAGCTTGTGTTATGGGTACTAGATAAATGATACAAATAATACATAGATATATTTTTTTTCTTAATACATACATATTATACATAGAAAACACTCAGACAGATACAAACAATCATACTCATGAATACAAATGTTTGTGCCGTGCGAGGAATCGATCCCGCGACCATCGGACGTAAAGCGATTATGATTATTATATTACAAAAATTAATCTAGTTTCATTACTAGTTGTAGAAAATTGGCGTAGGGTACGTTTTGTATGGCGAGGAGTCGAGGACATGAAGGCTTAAAATACCATAAACAAGTGACTTACCCCGCTCCATGATAGAGGTGAGGCACTTGGCCCTGTCGGAGCCACTCTTCACCTCCGCTCTGAGCAGATCCCCGGTGGACAGGTGCGTGAACCCGTACTTGGCGATGATCTTCTCGCATTGCGTGCCCTTCCCCGATCCAGGACCACCCAGCACCCATACGATCGGCTTCTTCGATGTGTCTATTGGCGCCTGGAAAGAAAGAAGAAGAAGAAGAAGAAGTTTAAATTTTTAAAATGAAAATATGAATGAGCAGCTTTACCGCAACACGCTGACGTTCTCATTACTAATAATATCTCCGATAGGTTGCAGTTGATAAAAAAATACAGGTCAAGTAGAGTACCATGAGAAAATTTGCACAGATTTAATTTTAGTAAAAGAAGCAATACTATAGAAAAAACAATTAGAGATAATAATGAAATTGTAGAAAATTTCAATAATTTTATGGATATAATCGAGAAATTAAGCGAGGTGGGCATTAATATCAATAAAGATTTATTAAGTATTATGATTTTGTACACTTTACCACAAAGCTACGAAAATTTTCGCATAATAATTGGGAATAGAAACGACCTACAACATCCAGAAACTTTAAGAATAAAAGTAATTAAGAGAACGATTGATGTAGTCGAAGCAATGCATAATTGTACAATATAAATGATAAACAAATGAAAAACTAATACGTACAAAAATAATTTAAATAAGAATAGGACAGTTAATACTCATATGAACATTATGCGAAAAACTTTTGTAGTTAAACTACAAGGACAAATTTAAAATAAATAAGAAGAAACTGACTTACTAATAACACTAGCAATGTAGACAAAATTATATACCATGCTTAGATAGCAGAAGTATGCACATGACGCGTAACAGATTGAACATTTAAAGAATGATGTGATGGTAATAAAATTCCATGATGATAAACTTCTATCAGAAAATTGCTAGACACAAGAGCTCTATCTAAACCTAAAACTATAAAAGCTGAGTGAAATTAAACATTCATCAAAGGATTGTTATAGTGGAAGTGTTATAATGTAGACTCTTTTTAATGTATAATTCAGGGGGAAAGGGGATCGTTAGTAATGTGGATTGATGATCTCACTGCTAGCAAAATACCATGTCAGGTTGACCTCCACGCGGTTCCACCTGGAAACCATCGTGATAAAATATCGGTGAATTTGTCATGATGGGCTAGCTGACCTGACCTCATGGTCATCTTATCAACCTCCACTGGTGTCCAGCGTAAACCATTAGCGCAGGCGAGTGCTCCATTCCATTATCATCCATAAAAAAACACTGTAGTTATACCCATAATACGAGTATAAGGAGGAGAGATTTTATTATTTGTTTCTTGGCATTGAATAAGCTCCGAAACTATTGGACCGACTTGAAAAATTAATCTACCATTCAATCCTACATTATTCCTGATAACCGTAGGCGATAGAATATTAAGATGTTAGGGATCGATATGAAAATTAGGATATTGTAACCCAACGTTTTAAAAAAATCCAAATAATCCTTATATATGTAGTAGCATACCTACGCTGAAATTATCGACAATAGAACAGAGTGATGTATAAATAATGTTTTGGGATCTATTAAATCGATAAAGTTATAATAATTTTTCTCATATATCTTTTATTTCGACAGAGATCAGTTTCATTTTTATTATATTTTATGTATAACAAAAATATATCAACATAATTCACATAGCGCCATCTAATCCTAGCTTGTGTTATGGGTACTAGGTAACTTATACAAATATATCAATACTATTTTACTGCAAATACATAAATATTATATATAGAAAATATTCAGACACTACAAACAATACTCTGTACAGTACAAATGTTTGTACTGTGCGAGGAATCGAACCCGCAACCTTCGGAAGTAAGGAATGCTAAAACCGCTAGATCACTGAGGCCGTACAGACTTGTATTAAGTACCTTGGCCTGGTAAGCTTTACACTTAGGGGACATACACTGAAGGGGACAAGGGGGAGCTTTTTCTATAACAGGCTCTTCGCACGGTCGACACTTTTTTTCATCCATTGTCTTTGATCGACAAGACTTGCTCTATACAATTTCAAACGACTCTTTCTAATTACATATAAAACACAATTAAAAATTCATAGACTACGATAGGAAGTTTGACAGAAACTGCCAATTTTGTAATGGAAGAAACCAGAGATATTTTTATGGAAATATACAAACTTGGTTAGTAAGAATGACTTTATACGTAAATGCGTATAAAAGTAGATATATATATTACATAAGACAATAAATTAAAAAAAAACTGTCTGTATTTGTTATATATGAATCGACTGGACCGATTTTGACTGGAATTTCACTCGCAGATAGCTAGTGTTATATGTTATTGTATTTTAGATTCAAATAATAATATTTGGTATAGATACTAGAAGGAAATATTTAAAGTTTTGTATGACAGAATTCTTACACCCCTAGACAATATACCAAGTTACTCCCTAAGTCATAAATAAACAGTAGGTATAAATTTTATGTCATCTAGTAAGCAAATTGGATACCCAACCACTATATTGTATACAGAAATATCAATTACGGGCTGTAACGATGAATATTTTAAACAGAAGAAATATGGGACACCGCCGCTCTGAACTCTATCGATTTTGTTAATTGAAGTTTATGTAAGTTTGTAACAAACGTTGAAAACTGTAGTTTATTTTTTAACGAACTCTTCCATTGCCTTTACCGCAGCTAGTTTTTCCTCTTCAAATATCTGGAAGGACTTATGGAGTGACAGAATGCCAACTCCTGCCTGACGGATACGACTTTAGTCTGATAGCGCCGCTAGGGGTTCGAATCTAGGTCAGGCCGTCGTAATTTCGATATATATGCAATATAAGTTTTTATCACGGTTTCGCTCATGTTAATATCATAGCCCGCGAGACAGCAACAGGTAAAGGTCACCAATTCCCCGTTTTAAACTTTTAAGATGGTTATAGTTGTGTTATGAAGCCTAATGAAAATCAGGATCCGAGGGTAGGTTGAGGAGCAACGACAACGTAAACATGTAAAAATTCAGTCATTTCCTCCATGTTCAAATTGCTATCAAATTATGGTTAAACCTGGTAATTATTTACGAAAATCGTCTCTGGCTCTGGTACTAACAATGTTGTCAACCGATTCTAGTCCACTGTAATCATAGAAACAGCAACACGAGAAATGGGCAATATACTGCATATTAACTGGGTACATACTACCTTTTTTTAATTGGAGAAAATGTGTTAGGATAACTAGGTGAATATTTATATTTGGAGAAAATCCTTCTTTTCTTTCATTTTGACTACTCTACTACTGAGACTCCTAGTCAATAGAAACTATATTTATGTTTAGTTTGCTGTCTACATATATTAAATCTTCAGCCATGTCCGATGCTAACTGTAGAAATAACAATCGGAATGGTCAGCTAACGTCACGCTGACGTCAGCAAGAGCACGTCACGAGGTCACCTCGATGGATTCTTATTTTTGGCTCCGTGTTTGTTATGACGGGCGATCTTGTAACCAGAGAGAGTTCATGGTTTATTGTTTAAGATTAGTCGAACTGGTAATGTAATTGTTGATAATGTGTTAACAATTGAGGCCGCCGTGACACCAATGGAGGATGATAGCATGAGCATGAAGTCAGTTCACTCAGACCGTCGAGGAGAATTAATCACGATTGTTTCTAGGGGGGAACAAACGGAGGTTGCCCTGTAACCACAAGGCGAATGAGGATAAGGTAAGGGCAATGAGGGCAAGGCCTACAAGATCAACGAGGCCACCATCCCTATTACTAACAATCACGACAATACCGTATACATAAAACGATTGGGCCACTCTATGGCAATTTTTTTCCGGACTACTTTAATGCTGTTGGCCGCAGCTAGCCTGTACAGCTTCACCAGACGATAGGGGGCCAATGCAGATAGCACTCCAAACCAAAGGAAGGACTTATGGAGCGGCTGAACGCCAACTCCCGCCTGACGGATACGACTTTAGTCTGAGGGCACCGCTAGGCGTTCGAACCTCGGCTCAGGAAGTCGTAATTTGGATCCCTGTTTGAATTGGACGGGGCGTCGCCGCATCGCTTAGAGACGGACGGGGGATCGATCGGAGGGGAAAAAGTATTATTGTGATATGCCTTTTGTGACAGAATTCCTCTATAAAAACTGTAGAAAATGTTATATTAATTTATACTGTTTTTAATGAAATTAGAATGCCAAACAAGTTGTCGGCCTACCTGATCGGTAGTCAATGGTAACAGTCGCTTATGTACCTTATTATAACTATGGACATCACGTTATCATGTGACGTCCAGGATACCACTCATGCGTTGCTATTCAAAAGGATTACAATGTCATGCCTCCTATCTTATCATTTCAGTGCTTAATTTGCACTCTTCAAACAAAATACATTTTACAAAGTAAGTTGCTTGGTAAGATGTGTTGGTGTCAAAATAGTTGAGAGACTAAGGTGACGCAGTCTACTGTTTTTTTCCACCCTACTTTATAGTCTCTGGTTAGTCATTAAAATTTCTTACTTATTAAGTGTCTTTAACATTTAATCCTCTATTGATAACGCATAACTGATGTTATCATAGTATATGCACTGATTGTTTGATGTTTACTGTTTTGAGCTCAGCTGTCACCTTATTACCTTTTGTTTCAATAGCGTGTATTTATTACTACCTATTTTTATAAGACCCTAGAGTCAGAGATTTAAAAGACCTTATAAAACCTAGGCTGTGAATACTATCAGTTTAAATTCAATAACAAAGATAGTTAAACAAATACAGTAAGATTGGAAATTCCTCCTCTTTCCTCTTTTTGAAAATTCATAATTTTTCGAAACTAAAGCAAAATTGACTCAGATACTTAGATTGAATCCAAGCTACGAGTAGATACCTACAGATAATGTTATAATTAAAGCTTGTGTAATCTATTTAAAGATTGACAATGACCGTCAACGAGATACAATGTAATTTGTATTAGTTTCAATCTTAGCCAGGTATAGACACCCATACAAACACTTATACAAATTTAAATGTAAACATTCGATGCATCTACCACATTGTATTTATATCAGTTGTCTAGTACCCAGACCACAAGATCTGGTTGGCTTGGGACTAGATGGCGTTATATGATTTCTTCGGGCCCTGCGCAATAACACGTGTCCAACCAAAATTAGAGTATAAATAAAAATATCGATCTTTAAATATCTTATATACAGCTCGTATTGTGATTTGTTTTTTTTAATAAAAAAAAAAATACGACAAATACACATTCTTTGCACACATACTAATTTCCGTCCGATCCATCCCCGTCCAATTCAAAGTGGAATCGATCAGACAGAATTTACGACGACTTGAGCCGAGGTTCGAGACCTAGCGGTGCTTTAAGATTAAAGTCCTATCCGTCAGGAAGGAGTTGGCCTTCAGCCGCTCTATAAGTCCTCGCAGGTTTAGGGAGACATTTGCACTCGCCCCTGTGATTCAATGAAGTTGAACAGCATTAGCATATAGTTTACTAGCAGTCCCGGCAAACATTGTTTTGCCTTAAAATAAAAATAAAAAATTTAGAGGTGGACTACCCCTAACATTTAGGGGATGAAAACTAGATGTTGGCCGATTCTCAGACCTACTCAATACGCTCACAAAATTTCATGAGAATCGGTCAAGCCGTTTCGGAGGAGTATGGGAACGAAAACTATGACATGAGAATTTTATATATAAGATTATTTTATTTATACTCTTTATTGCAACAAATACAGAAAATAATTAAAATAGTAAGTATGTATTAACTGATACCCGAAACGGTCTTTTCGCTGAACAATTTCTTGCAGACTACCTTTGAGTGGATAGAGAAAGTAAAGATAAGAAAAGTTTAGTTCGTATTTTTTTGTAGCTGGTGGCTAGTAGAGAATTAACTAATAAATACATATGAACATACAACATAGTGTCACCTAGTTTTTAAATTTTGTTATTTCATGGTGTACCTGAACAGTAGTTCTTCTACCACTAAAACTCCTCGCTTCACACCACAGAACTAACACTAACGTCAATGTATATAGCGACTTGTACTTCAGGAGTTCGCTGTTGCTGCAAGGTTTCATTTAGAAAGAAACGTGGCCTTGATAAGAACGCTGGCCTGTAAACTAAACATAAAGCGGTAGCGTGCCAGCTGGCACCAACACGATCACACCACCGGCAATCTCGCTATTCACTGGACTGTTTTGGAGAAAACATCACTTTATATCCGAGATATTTGGACCGGGAATAGTCGACCTTCTGTGTCAATTGAGAACGGGTTCATTAAGATGTTGGCAATGAATAGATTGAAGAAATAATTAGTCAACCTACTACAAAATAAAAGGGCTCTGAATAGAACTGTTTTTTGGTAAATTAGATTTTGATCTGATCTTAAATATGTTTCTCCTACATTGGTATTTAGTTTTAAAATCAGAATTTCCAATTCCCTGATATGCCTATTTATATACTAGCGACCCTCATTAGCTTTGCACGGGGGTACAATGTATATCACAGAAGTTTTAAAACATTATGCACATATTCTACGTAGAAACCTTCCAGCAGAAATTGTCTAAATATTTGTTTTGTACTAATATTTCCTCTGGACCAAAATCCGTTACGTTGTTTTGATGTAAGCGGAAAAAGACAACAACAGCGACTTTGTTTTATATTATTTACAGATATTGTTGGAAATTTTGGGTAGCCCCAAGGCTAGACTGTATTGGATATGGGCCTATATGATTATATAATAACCGGTAAAGCAGGAGTTTCGAGTAATAACAGCATAGAATGAAATGTAATCTGGGACGACACTCGACTAAATAGAGTAAAGATATCAAATTTATAGCAGGACATCTATGTCCGGGGAGCATTTTAAAAGATGGTCTATGAGAATAGAATAAACTGATATTTAAGAGCTTTGGAATATAGTCACACATTTTCTATCTCACTCGGAATGTATCTGTATAAGAAGAATGAGCATGAAACTTGTATATTGTTCTTTTAAAATATTTGTTATTGAGAGGTTTATATACAGACTAGTCTTA